TAAATTTTTTATGGTACCTTACTACAGCTTTAGACAAGCAAATAGAGCAACAATTCTGCTTTTAACAGAAAAATCAAGAGTGACAGAAGCTTTCTTTCCTTCACCTTCCCCTGTTGGGAAAACAGTAGGGTTGGAGCCTATTGACACTTCAGATCCTATTCCAAAAGGAACAGGACAAGCAACTGGGCTTTATCGAATTCATTCTGACTAGATCTTCTACACGGGGAAAAAGGATCAAGAGCATCGAGGTCTGACGTATTTACATACCCATTGTCATTCATTTTTCTTCTGCCAACTAACTAGATTTAATCCTGATTACAGTTAATGAAACAACAGCTAATGCAACATCAAAGACTGTTCTCAGCTTTGAAGCCTAGATTCTAGTTCTTGTAGCTGTGACAATCCAGGACTAGGAACTTACTCCACACACTGTGCTTTCCCAAGACAATGAACAGCAACCTCAGTTAAGAGAAATTTTTGCCCAAAAGAGGGAGAAGATGACCAACACGACTGAAGATTATTTTTAAGTGGCTTCTTTTAATGCATTTTATGGTGGGGTATTGGGTTTATGTAGCCAGGTTTTGGTAGTAGGGGGATGGAGGGGTAGCTTCTGTGAGAAGCTGCTGGAAGCTTCCCCATGTCTGGTGGAACCAATTCCAGCTGCTCCAGGATGGACTCAACGCTGGTCAAGGCCGAGGCAATCAGGAGTGATAACATATTTAAGAAGGAAAAAAGTTGTTGTGCAGATGTAATTGGGTCTCAATGGCCACTGAGAAGAGCAGAGTGAGAACATGTGAGAGGAACAGGTGTGCAAACACCAAGGTCAGTGTGGAAGGAGAGGCAGGGGTGCTCCAGGCTCTGGAGCTGAGGTTCCCCTGCACCCCGTGGTGAGGCAGCGGTGCCCCTGCAGCACATGGAGAGCCACAGGGATGCAGAGTTCCACCTGGAGGAGCCCACACTGGAGCAGGGGGATGCCTGAGAGAAGGTTGTGAACCAGTGGGAAGCCCGTGCTGGAGCAGGGTCCTGGCAGGACCTGTGGGCCTGTGGAGAGAGGAGCCCATGCAGGAGCAGCTGTGCTGGTAGGACCTGTGACTCTGTGGGGGCCCCACCCTGGAGCAGCCTCTGCCTGAAGGATTGACCCCTGGAAGGATGAACCATATGGGAACAGCTCATGGAGAACTGTTGCCCATGGGATGGACTCACCCTGAAGAAGTTCATGGAGAACTGTCTCCCGTGGGAATGACCCCAGGCTGGAGTAGGGAAGGAGTCCAATTCCTCTCTCCCTGTTGAGTGTCAGGAGCAGTGATGAACTGCCTGTATCCCACAGTCCCATCTCCCTGTGCTGCTGGGGGTGAGGAGACAGAGCTTGGGAAGGAGAAAGGGGTGGGGGAAAGTGTTTTTATTTTATTTCTCATTATCCTGCTCTGATTTTGTTGTTAATAAATCCAGTTACTATCCCTGGGTTTAGCCTACGTAGCCCATGACCACCACTGATCACCAAGTGATCAGTGAGTGATCTCTCCTGTCCTTATCTCCACCCACGAACCTTTCACTGTATTTTCTCTCTGCTGTCCAGTTGCAGAGGGCAGTGACAGAGCAGCTTTGGTGGGCACTTGGCATCCAGCCAGGGTCAACCCACCACAGATGGTTATTCACTAGCCAAGTGAATAGTTCATCAATAATTTCTAGCAGTGGTAAACTTTCAGACCAGTTGCAACTTAATTCCCTGAGCAGGTCCTTCTAGCAGCAGTTGCTAATACAGCTGGCATGGTACTTGCTATTTCTGTAATTCTTTTAATAAAGACAGTACCTCACTGAAGCTTCAGTGTCCCCAAAATTAGGTTATAGTCAAGCTTGTTTTGGTAAAAGGAAGACTGCTTCATACTCAAGTAAAACACTGCGTGGGTGGAGTATAGTGAAATCCTGTATTTCACAATATTTTAACTCAAAACCCAGCTGCAGTAAAATTTCAGTTTGCAATGCTAAAAAAAGCTGTAACCACAATGAAGTGCGACAAGTTTGAAGGCTTAAAACAAAACACAGTTCACTGTGCCAACAATTCAGAGCTGCAGATGATTATCAAACCCCCAAACTTCACACCCTCCCACTTCTACATGAAAAGTTGGGACACATGAAAATAAGAAGCTTAGTGAAGTGAAGTAGTTGTGATTTCTGGCATTAAGTGTGTTAATCAGTTCAAAGCTATTATTCCTAAACACCTTAGCTGACTACTTTGACAGCACCCAAGAACCTTTCAAGGTAGATATTCATACTTGCTTTATGCATTTAAAACAGGCCCCTCAGCCAACAGCATAGGCTCTCTACCAGAGAGCAACTCAGAGCCCTAAATTCAGACTTTACCTCTCCCTGCTGATTTTACAGGGAGCCTCAAGTCAAATTATTTATGCTGCTTGCCTGCGATTGGTCTCAAGGAAGTTAAGAACTGATTAAGCACAATGTCCTGAATAAGAACAAGAAAACATCAAAGCTCTCACTGTGGTCTAGATTTGTATGGCACCACCTGGAAGTCCAAGGACTCCATGCAAAATGCTAAAACGTGGAGAATTCCTGTTGCACAGTGCTCACCACCTACGTAGGAACCATGCATAAAAAGAAGGGGGAAAACATGCAGAGATGATGCCACTCTACTCAAGTATCATAGTTTAAAGCTGAAAGCATCCAGGCACTTGACACTGTTCTTGAAGCCTCAGCCCCAAAACAACTTCTAAATGAAATCAGGTTTTTCTTTGGTGGAGGAAGGGTTCTGAAAAGTCATCTCCGTGCCTCCAAGCTGCCAAAAGGTAATTCAAAAATAATGTTTAGGCTTGGATGTTTGCATCAACTACCTGATTTCTGATTACTTGGCTTTGGCAATGCTATGAAAATCAAGCTCAGGCAGGGCTAGTGATGGGAGAGATCTGAACCCAGGCTCATGAAATGCCAGTCTAAACTTAAGACAACAGTTACATACAGAGTTTTTCCAGCTTCATGATACAGGTAAGTAGCTGGCTGCTCATACTTTAAACATCTCTATTTGAGTGCTCCCTGCTCGCTATGTAAATATTTAACAAAACAACCTCACTGAAAAAAAATCACTATTCGATTTTGGACATCAGTACTTTGACTGGCAGAAGAGAAGAGGGATGAAGTCACACTCCTCATGTACCACAGGCATTCCGCACTCAGATGTTTGAGTGGGCACTGGTCAGGTTTTGAAGAAGAGCAGAACAGCAGTGGGATAAGTCAGAAAGGCAGTGGATTAAGAAACAGGAGTAGGTTAAAGTTACTGAAGAACTGACAAAGGCATTTAAATGAAATACTAGGAAAGTAAGCATTTCTAAGCACAGATAAGTTCCCTTGTGTCACTAAGCTGTGGCTGAAACAGCAATGGCAGGAGAGAATATTTTAATGGTACTAATCAGAGGTTAAAACCAGTGACCTCTACACAGACTGAGACGGTCTTGCATCAGGCAGCACCACAGGTCCACGTCTGCAGGGTCCTCATACACTCCTGGGAAGTGCACACTGAAAGCAAAGGGCACAGTCGAGTCGCCACTACAATGTTCAAGGCAAAGCAAGTAATACCACCACAACTGAAAGAGCACATTCAGAAATCCACAGCGAGGAGACCACAGAATTAGGTCACCCAACTGATTCAAGCTGCAACCTGCTCATAAATACAGAGTCTGCACCCAGACAAGTCGTCTCTTATCTGACCGTTTCACAGGTGAAAGCAAACATCTGAGTTAGTAGGATGCAATTTGATTGTGGCAGGAAAAAGCAACTGCTTTAATAAACGAGGAGTAGAAGTCTGTACCCAGACGCAGAACCTCCAAAACAGCTTTATGAAAAATCATATTAACCCCTAAAGTCTAAGGAATTCTCAGCCACAATTGTGCACTTGTACCATTTATTTGGGTGGGTTAGGATGACTCTTAACCTTCAACAAAAAATATAGACAACAATTAATAAAAAAACCCAACCATCATGAGAATTAAAAGTTTTATTAGTGTATTCACATATTAGGCAAATGCAACACGCATGAAGTTTATTTCTTAGGTTCACAAGTTCTACCAATACATTAGTCTAGTGGTAAAACTAGCATAAACTGGTAACTGCTTTGCCAATTTTTGAAAGGTGTCTGACACACATTTTCAAGGCTTGATTTTTGGTATTGCTTCTATGTCTTAGTCATTATGACAAAAATATCCATCACGATCATCAATTCAGTCAACAGATTAAAAGCTGTAACACTGGTCATATTTTTGTTCTCAAAGTTATCACTAGCTGTACTTACAAAGTACAGTACTAGTATAATGGATTAAACAATGGGAAAATAGACAAAGGCAATCCTGCTACTGCCACGATAACAAAAGAATGACAGACAGCTAGATCACAAGATTGTTAGTAAGATGTGTATTTTTCAAGTCATAATAACCCTTCTATACAGTTTCCCAATCCCATCCCCAGCCCAGACTTATCTGTAGAATATATTTCAGAATATTTTCAATATGGTGGAGTTGTAGTGTCCAAAGGTTCACAATAACATGCACTGTCATGAAGAACCTAGAAGTCCTCCTTCACCAGTCATATCTCAGCAACCGCTATCCTAAAGGTTTTGCAGAAGCAACTACTTTTAATAACAAGACCCATTATGACATAATGAATGCGTATGATCTGGTGTGTAAGTAAGCTATACAAAGCCACGCAGATCAAAAATTTAAATTCCGTTACTGAAATATGTTAAGAAGCTGCATCTATTTAAAACCTATACAAAAGAGTAGTTTACCTTGGGAAAGGATTTTTCAAGGTATTTGGCTCCAGAAACTAAACCCCATCATGTTCAGTGAAAAAAATACAGACGTAAGGGGTAAGCCAATAACCTTATGTACTTAATCCAGCATCAAATGCTATAGTAAGTTCTCACTCCATGAGAAAAAACCCACTGATTTCGAACGACTTAAGGTACAAAGAGTGCCAAATTACACACACTGCCAGCAACAGCGCTGGCACCAGATGCATCAACTCAGGTGAGTAGGGAAAAGTAGACTCCTAGTGTAATGGATACTTGGAATTTATAATATGAATTCATTTTAGGCCCCATTAAGTATATAAAGTGTCTTAAGATGTCACAGAGGAATCTCAAGACATTTCTTTCCCTTCCAATGGAGGGATTTTCTTTTTCTTTAAGAAGGCAGCAAAAAGTTAAGCTTTTCTACAAGGAAAGTCTGCTTTTTATGTTTAGGACTACTCGAAAAACCTGCTTATATAAAAAAATATAAAAGAATAAGGGAGTAGAGTCTTGGAATCTTATGAGATATTTGCCCCAATCAAAAAAATCCAAATGACTATTTATGGGAACTAAAATGTAGAACAGCACAATACTGTGATATTTGAGATCGTGATACATTATCTGTACGTATACTTAGCTATTCATGTTATTGATAAACCATTAGGACACTCAATTATATACCCAATAGAAACACCATTAAAGAATCTTTAAAACTGTCACTTTTTTCTGAAGAAGGCTTTTCTATACACTAAATTTTCATCTAGTATCAGAGTATAGGAAACAGAATCCACAAGGTGCTTTAACTGATGAGACCTCAAGTGCTGTTTTTCTTTTTTTCCTCTCTTTTTTTTTAACCTTTTTTTTTTTTTTTTCCATTTTTAAAAACCTTTTTTTTTTTTTTTGGATAGTAAACAGTTCATGGGAACCACACACAAATACTACGACAGAGGAGCTGTTATATTGAGTCTGTTGTCTGGACTCGATGTTTAGCCCACTGGTGAGGAAGCAGAGAGATTTTAGGACATGCTGGAGCAGCGAACTGAAGGGGAGCCCATCTGAGTCAGTACTTTGTCCAGCCACTGTAGAGGTCCGTTCAGATGAAGCTCAATCCAGCAAGGAGTGCTTGTTACCGTTTGGCGCCTGGAAAGCAAAGAAAGAGGAGAGTGGGAAGTCAGAAAGCAGCTCTGGCTGACATGAAGTGCTCCACCGTGTGATCAAGTATGTTTCCACACATATCTACCTCACAGAAAGATAAAAATCTGCAGCCATTACCAGAACTGTTATTAAACTTTTTTTCAGTCTTTGAAGAAAAAAAAACAAACCAACAACAAACCACCAAAATTCCAAAACACTCCCACATCTGTAAGACACATCAATAATTACATGCTTGTCCTAATACATCAAGAATATTCCACTCTAGAGAATAACAGTGGTATTGGCTTCAGGGCCACACCAAGAGACTTTCTTGTAAAAAGAAATTCAGACAGAATTGTCCAGCTTGTGCAGTGCTCACATCACAGGTACCTGCGTGCAGCTGTATCTCAGCCTTCAGAGAGTCTGCATGCATAAACAGGGTTTTGAGACACTCTGAGAAATATGGAATAGAAACCCTTGGCTCTGTCCTGTCAACACAGCCAAATGCTGTGGTGATCATAAGGTCTGGCTTTTTGGAGCAAGTGGCATGATAAAATGTATAAAGAAACTGGGAGATGTTGTCAGAAACTCAACATCAAAACACAGTGTGTGGTTATCCTGTGCTAACTGATGGTATCTCAAAGGAACACCAAACCTTATCTCTGATTTCCTGTAATCTTACACTTCTACATGTGTTTTGTACTGTAACTTCCCCACACAAACAATTTAAGTAAAAATTGCATTTCCCTTGTCTTCTGATACTAAACTTGCCTATAAATTTCCACAACAGAAGCCCTTAATTAAGACACCACAGTAAGCCTCAGTAAAGCTGAAGGACTGACAACCAGAAAAGCTTCATTCACTTTCCTGCATATCCTTGTTTCAGAGACCTGCTACTCAAAAAATCTTCCTTCTCATCTCCAAAGTAAAGAAATCAGAATTGGACACAGTTTGCCTGAAAAATTCCTGTTATTTCACTGTACCCACTCCAGGCATGGGAGTTTTCCCTAACTAAACTGGCAAGACTACTGTTGCTAAGCCAGTTTTTCCTAGTAATTCCAGCTATCCCAAGATTCAAAGGCAGCAGATTAGTCAGACACAAACCCAGCCCCTTCAGTTTTACTGTCAGCACTGCAGCCCTTCGCTTTAAGGAAAGCTGTTTATATAAACAGAGGAACTGAGAAGGCAGAAAGATTAAGCCAGTGAGAAGATTAGAGTTGTCAAAAGTTTCAGATTTTCTAGGAGAAGACAAGCAGCTGGGGACTGTGCTCTCTCAGCACTCAACAAAACATTGTTATCTTAGACCCTAAAGGCCTATGCCCAGAACAAAGTGATACAACAGAAGAACAATCTAAACCACAGGAAATATAATTCCATTTAGTCTCGAATACTCTCCCAAAGAAGGAAGTTCATTAATTCCAACTGCTGTCAACTCCCCTACAATGTGTTTCACAACATACTTCCTCAAAATTTTATAACTGGTTCTGTTCAACAGCCCTGGCTTTGCACTACCACTGGCAAAAACTGATAAAATAATGAGAGTCACCGAGCAACCACTTCAAAGCTAAAAATTCAGCCTCTGCTACCCGTGGATTTCCAGTTCACGCATCACTATTTACTGTAATCACCTCTATTGAACTTTCTTCAGAAGATGATGCTAGACCTCGATAGTTCCTGCGATAACGTGAACACTTGAGCGGTGATTTGAACTTCTACCATCCATCCAAGCCACCATGTGATGAGCCAGAAGCTGTAAGCTACTTTGCCTACAAAGCTTATAAGCTTGGTAAATAAATAAAATGTATCACCTTGCCGTACCTGCACGTTTATGCACATATGCACATGAAGTGCAAGTAATGCTTTGGCTCTGCCCTAGCCTGTTCTATGAGAAAGGTTTTTTCACACAATAATGAAACACGGAAGTTTTAACAAGAATGATGGGTTTTTACGGTGCTTGCTGGTCCATTTTGACAAGTCAGACTACATTCATTTAAATTCAAGGTGGTGTTTGCTGGAGCCACCTCTTCTTGCTTTAATCTCCAACTCAAGGTCAAAACTTACAAGTTTTGTGCATCAATAATTTATTAGCATCACCTTAAACAGAGATGCAAAGAAACTAGTTCAGCATTATGTCAGTAATCAGTTTCTGTGCTATTTTGGCAGTCTCCACTGCAGCTTTTTCAATCCTACGGTGTACGGTTTACAGTTTAATAACCAACATTCTCCCTCCTTAGAAACAACTTGACCAAAAGTTGTAACCCAGCACTTACACTCCATTCACTTCAAGCTGCCTCCAGTGTAATGTGACTGATTAAGTCTTTCTTCTGTTCAGATTAGAATGCTGTATTTAATTATGCCTAAGTGTATACATACTCCTCCAGAGCCAAACCCAATAGCTCTTTAAACCTGAGCCAGATTTTTTTCTTGTGCACCTCTTCCTAACATAGAGGTACCAGTTTATTCCATTACTCAAATTTCCCATTTCATCTAATTAGACTATTACAAAATTGGCTTCATTTAGCTGAGAAACCTCCCCCACATACTGACGCTAATATTCACATGTACGCATTTCAAGAGCAGACAAAGCAATCAAACCCCTCCCAGATTCAGTGGAGCCTATATGCCATCATTCAATTTCAGAAAGGATATAGGTCTTTAAAAAATCATTATGTATTGCATTAGGGTATTGATGTGTCAGACTTCATTCTTTCAGTGGACAGTTCCTACAGAGGTTTAAGGGATTTGTTTAAAACCACATCTCTAGCTCTCCAAAATAATGAAATCTTTGAAACTGCTCTGTTAGAAATCAATTACTTTCCTTCCTGAATTCCCATGCTACATTAGAAACAGGCACTGTCCTCAACTACAGCTCTCAGTTTGGGCTAACAGAGAATACAACTGGAATCTATTCAAAAGCATCTAAAATGCTATTTTTTCCACTCAAAGGACTGTTTTTAGAAGTTTTACTACACAAACACAGTCGTCTTCCTCCTGCAAAGCTTTTTCCACTACAAGTTCCAAAATATTTGCCATCCCTTAAGCGTGTGCTCTCCAGCAATTTCATTCTGCAAGAAGGCACTCCCAGTGACTCCCAAATCTTCCCATTGGGTACCATCAAACCCCATCCCGCACCACAACCTAAGGAACTCACATTACACTCCAGAACAGACTGACTGTATGTTCAAATGATCAAAATGACTGTATGTCTAACAATCAGCAAATAATCTCACAGCACAGGCTGTGAAACTTCTAGATGTTGTCAGGGATTTCACCATAACATGCAAGCCAGCGGGACTGAGCTAAGGGAATAAGAACTTTGACGACACTCCTTGCTCAACATTTGGCTTCAGTGCAGCACGAAAATCAGTTTATGGACTTCATAACTTAGCAGTTCTAGAGATGAGAAGGAAGAAAAAGGAAAATATGGGTTCAATTTGCAGGCAGCATACCCACAATAGCACTGAGAAGCCTCTCTGTATGGCTCTCAAGCCAGACAGAAATCCTATGTTAGTGAAAGAAAAATGAGTAACTCTAAAAGCAAAGAGATTTTTCTCTTACCTGTACTCAGCCCCCCATCCTTTAACAAAGCTCATTCTTATGGTGCACATTCTAGTAAGCTGATAAACTGCTTCAAAGCCCTGATTCACAGACTGAGCCAGAAGAGCAGCGAATTCCTGGTTATTAAAGATTTTTAGATTGCATCCTAGAAAGAAAAAAGAGTCAAAAAGGTGCAGTCAGTGAACACTTGTGTTTGCTCCACAGAAGCCCGAAACTATGCAGAAATTATGAAAAGGAAAGCAAATGTCATCCAGCGAATACCTTCACTGGGTATTTTCCCACGAGACCTTTGTAGGCTACTAACCTGGTGGAATTTTGCACACAGTTGCAGGATGCCAGCCATATCTTTGATTACAGTTGGGGCTCTGAACAAAAATCGCACTATCACTTAGGCACTCAGCAAAAACTTCTCCACCAATGTAATAGAGACGCACTCCCCTTCCTGTAGCAGAAGTCACAGGTACTCTAGTTACGATATGACCCAAGCAGATTAGGAAACAAGGGAGAATTTTTTTTTTTCAGAGAAGGCCAAGTTTTTCTTCCTTACAACAGAAACAGAAATCAATTATCCACAGGACCTCAACTGCTGTGCTGACAGCTGTAGCAGGAGCTGAACACAATTCACTTGCATTTTTCTCCCACGAACACACGATATTTGGAGGAGAAGCAGAATAAATCTTGGTCAAAAGCAAGACAAATTTTCTACCCATATGATGGCTTGAAACCAAATCCAAGCTCAGAAGCAGCGTTCACATTAAAACAGAGTTAAAACTTGTGCTAATATTAAAGCGTTGTATGTGAAGCAGCACAGGCTACTGTGGCAGAGAAGGAAAACACAAGTATACCACTTCAACACTCTCTGCTTACATGCACCCACACTGTTTCACAGCCCACTGCATACCCCTGCATTGCTTCTTCACAAAACAACAGGACTTCATTTAGCCCTATTACAAAAAATAACTGTAAGAAATCATATTGCCCACTTTTAAATTCTTATTTTGTTCTCTTTCTGAGACTGGAAAACAGATCTGTATACATTATTTGAAGCAGAAGGTAAATAATGTACAATTGATCTTCCAAAGAAAACTATTTATAATTAACAGATCCTTTAAAGACCCTAATTTCCATTCCCTTTTTTTCTTTAAAACAATTTTTCAACAAAATGTGAGCTACTCCATTAAACAGTGAGAGCTCATTACATTTTTGGTTCTCCTCATTGATCATTTTGACCAGTCATCAGCACAGGCACAGTCTAGGTTCCTGCACATCTAAAATCCTGTTAGACATGCATTTGGATTTGGCATTTGGACTTGGCACAGAGGGAGTTGAAAGGTTCTACTAAGGAGGTTGAAATTTTACTGAAAGTAAAAAAAAAAAAAATTTTGTAAATGTTGCTAATAAAAGAATCCAGGGGAAAAAAAAAAGTTTACTGAAGAACCAAAAGCCAAGACAGTGCATTGTGGAAGACAACTTTCTCTGATTAACCATTACAAAGGAAATCTTAATCATGTCAGAACAGTGTGTTATTTCAATGGCAGCTTTTCCCGTTTCAGAGAAGAATTCAAGAAGTACTACCTATATCCATTCTGCATTTCATAAACTAGAATAAACTAGGTAATATTTTGTAATTAAAGCTTAAATTTCAATTATAAGCAATTCTTAATATAAATGCTGCCCAGGACAGAGAGGTCCAACAAGGAGCCTGAAAGGTAAAAACCTGCCTCCTGGGCACCATCTTTTTCCACAAGGCAAGAACAGCAACACGAGGAACAGAAATCTCACACAGCTGAGTGGCTTCCTCCTGTGCAGTTGCCTGAGAGCTCTGTGACTGCTGCTGCCACCAGGTTAGGGGCTACTGACTGAGGAAAGGCAGCTCCTTTCAGCTCCAGCCATCACTACATCTCCCTCTGATTTCAGAAGCTGTGACCTCTGTGTCTTTCCACTTCTGTCCTCAGCCAGAGAGGCCAAACTTTCCTTGGCAAGCCCTGAGAGGGAAGGCTGATGTCTGGTAGCACAAGGGTGAAAGGAACCCACCAACACACATCCTACCTGGATCATTCCAGATAAATTAGCCGACAAAATGAAATTAGATAGTTAAAAGATCAGAGATCTTCACCTATATGTCGTCTTGTCATTTCCACCGTAGCGTTTCTGTTTACATTGGAAAGCAGACCTAGACAAAATCTCTCAGAATTTGATGGATCTGTAAAGCCATCTACAGTCAGAGAAGGCTGGGACGCCGTGGAAGGTTTCTCCCACTCTTTGATTCAATTCATAATATGCTATTGAACACCAAAACGCAGGCTCCGAGTAAGTAACTGGTTGCAAGTCTAAAACAAACAAAAAAAAATTTAAAAAAACCCAAGCTTCACACAGAATTTGAGGCTGAAAGTAGATCTACCTTCCCTGCTATTTGTCTCTCCCAGAAATGGCAGCCATAGGCTTCTCAAACTACTCAAATTATGTCTTGCTTGCTGTCCTTTTTACCTACCCCAGTAAACAGAATGGAATTCAGTCTTCCACGCAACGGGAAGGAGGAGGGGGAGAAGGGGTGATCTAATCTAACCACAGCTCATTTAGTTCAGTACTTGCATTTTGCTCGGCAAAATGATTAAGCTAATGGTGCTCTGAGCGCCAGACGGTGAGACATTCCTGTTGCCTTTCTGTAACTTGCAAACGTTTTGGCAACGTAAAAGAAAAGATTAAACTATCAACCACTGAACAACAGAAAGGAAAAAATAATATGAAAATTCTGTTCTCTTGCATTACACTAGATCTTACACTGCCTCTTTATCTGAAGGTAGTTCTAAGCTCCTTCTACTCTCCCTTACTAGAGCCCGGTATCTTTCCTGTGCATCTTCAACTTTTCCTGTGCTGCTTCCCCTTCTTACCTACCCTAATTACTTACTCAGCATTCTGAACAGTATTTTCCTGTCACATCCTGTCACCATTCCTTAAACAAACCCAGGGCAATCTGATCTTCCCGAGGCGTTTATAAAGACACACAGCAGTGGCACCTGATCAAAGCAGGTGGGCAACTAACGTGGGAGCAACAACTGTGCGGCAGTAGAGGTGAAACAGTACATGAGAAGAGCAGCACAAGGGAGACAGCAAGTCTGGACAGCAGTATGGACAGGCAAACATCCTCTAAACTACTTATTTTATAAATTCTATTCCTGCACACACAAACATATCACTCCCTCTTTGCTAGGAGCTCAACAGTTACAGAAATAGAGCAGTTGTTAACAAGTTGTTAACCTAGCCCTATTATATTTAACATCAGGAAGCCAACCCAACAGTCACCTCCTAATACAACTCTTAATTTCTTAAAGTACATTTGCACTTTTAAAGTAATTATAAAGATATAATGAGGAGTCATCACACACAGAGAAATAATTATAAGTATTTCCAGCTTACCCAGACTGTGATTAACTGGAGAGAGAGTACTAGGAGACAGCTCTGCTGGAGATCCTGTTGAAGCAATACAGATAGTTCCAGAGCAAATGGATGTCGTTATTTCAGGTGGGTAGGCACATTATCTACATCAGTTTTACACAGACATTTTTCGGAATAAGAAACCTCAGAAATCCTACAACCAGTTTTCTGGAATATCACACACTTACTCTGAATTAAGATTTCATTCAATTTTCCAGACTTCTGGGAACCTACCCCTCCTTGTAAAGACCCAATTAACTGTGTTGTATTTGGCAGAGCTCTCCCTTCATGCACACTCTGTGAACATTATTTATGCACTTCTCCAGTGAGAAGGTAGTGACTTCCCAAATTCTGTGAAATAAAAGCTAAGAAAGAGTGGATGAGACAAGTAAGATATTGCCTTTCTGTTTTCATAGCAGAAGGTTTATCTTGGAAATGAGAAGGTTTAGGGGTGACCTAATGTGGCCTTCCAGTAGCTGAAGGGAGCCTGCAAGAAAGATGGACTGTTTACAAGAGCAGGCACTGACAGGACAAGGGGGAATGGTTTCAAACTGAAAGAGGAGAGATTTAGATTAGGTATTAGGAAAAAAAAAATCTTTACTGTGAGAGTGGTGAGGCCTGGCACAGGTTGGGCAGAGAAGCTGTGGCTGCCCCTGGATCCCTGGAAGTGTCCAAGGCCAGGTTGGACGGGGCTTGGAGCAACCTGGGATAGTGGAAGGTGTCCCTGTCTGTGGCAGAGGTGTTGGAACAAGATGGTCTTTAAAGCCCCTACCAACCCAAACCATTCTGTGATTTTATGATTCTGTGATCTCCAGAAAAGAACAAGCTAGATCTCCTCATTTGAGGAAATTATTCTTTCCCTGCGGGAGGAAGTTAAAAATTCAGAAAAACAAGAATCCTCCAACACAATTTGCACACTAAAAGGCAAAATACAGAGAGGCTTTCACAGAAACATTCCCACAACAACTGCTGATGTCAGGCTGTTATTTAGTTAAGGTATCTATTGTCTTACAGTGGGAAAACATTGCAATTCTTACAGAAACTGGTGCAGCTGATTCCAGCTAACTAAAAATGGTTGCTAGCATAAGCTAACCAAGCACACCCAAGTCCACTGGCACACAGCAGGAGGTTCTTATCCAGCACATTAAGTGTGCTTTGTCCAAGTCTAAGGTCAACCACATTCTGTAGAAACCTCTTCCTACAAAGGCACAAATACCTAATGTTTCTATGGCTTTTTCCATAGAGCTTTACATACAAAAATTATTTTGAAATGCAGCAAAAGCAATAAGGCTGTCAGACACAGGTTCTCAGAACACAGATTGTCAGCAACCTGTTTATTAGGCCAACAGACGTCTTGTTTCAATGAAGCTGTTTACTAGGGGATGGTTGAAATCAATTAACTATTAAAATCTATTTTAAGGATTTCTGGTGAAGATTTAATTAGACTTCTGTTATGTAACAAATGTGATGTACTTAATATAGCTTAGAATATTTTAAAAGCATTTCCCTAACAAAAAATTATTGTGCCTCACGAAAGACTGAAAGTGGTATTTTAAACAGGTTGTACAGAGGAAAAATGCCATCACCTTTCGGGCTGAATTCGTGCTCCTACGCAGAGGGATCACAGTTACTAATCCAAAGGCTTGCAAGTAGTAAGAAATAAATGTTACCTGTATCCATGCTTTGGTTCAACTGCTGGTCACTTGTTTCTCCATCTTCACTGATATATCCTGGAGGAGGTGTTTCTGTTAAAAAAAAAAAAAAAAAAATTCCAGTGACTGCTTGAATGACTGGGGAAACTTCTGTAGGACTTGGTGTTTTTATCACCACGTTTTCACAAGCCTCATGATACCTGTGCACTGAATCAGAATGTCACTTTGAGGTTCCTTTTTCCTTCCAGTAGGACTTCAAACACGTTAACTGCCTTATTCTATGTAAAATGTCTCTTCTCTTGTATGCCAGTCAATTGCTCAAATATGTATAATTAACAGACAACCCTTGTTTGTTCCATTTAAGACAAGACACAGTCACTACAATGAGTAACAGTTTTGCAATTGTGATCAACAGCTTTCATATTTAGTAGAATTACAAATGAATAAAACCATCTGGTGGCTTCCCCCAAAAAAATAACGTGAGCTATCTTTATGTAGTATAACCACTAGATCAGATACCCTCCCACACCTTACTGAAATTGTTAGATTTAAAGATTATTTTTCAGTTCAGTCCCAAAATCCTTCTTTCTTCAACACCCAACAGTTGATTTCTCTCATTTATAACAACTATATTAACTAGTTACACTGCACAAGCTCTATCAAAACCATCAGCTATTCTTTCAACTAGCTTTCTTTAAAGACAGTTACACAGACCAAAGTAAGATCAGAACCAACTGTGAAGCATTCTGACACCAGAAACTGTGTCTAATTCCACAGAAATACCTTTCAAAACCCAGGAGACTATGCCTGTTCCTCTTCTCCATTCAAAATGTTCTTTGTAATCCAGATAATGAGTTAACCAACTGCCTTTCAGGAAATAATTTTCTTTGAACTGGGCAAATGTCTTTTCCTACATATTAAAGGCAAACCCTGGATTTCTTCAGTGAAAGTGTTTGAAGCTAACTATCTCTACAATCACCTTAGAATTGTCTCTGAAACTTCCAGAGATTAAACACTTTTAATTACATTATTACCAAACAGCAGAAATTTAAAGATAAAACCTTTTTGCTTAAGAAGTAAAATAAAATTATATCAAATATCATGTCTAAGATGTACAGCAATACAGTAAGATCAGAAGGAAGTCAGAGAGAGGAAACTAGATTAAGTCAGTTGATTAAATTAAAATGAACTGAGAGAATTTAATCTTGGATTAATTCTCTAAAACAAGTGTGCTAAATAGAGATGTGACAAAATTCAAGTGAGAAATTAAAAGGGCGATTAAGGGAAATCTCCACTAGAAAGAAGTATGATAACAAAACTCATACTCGTTTTGGACATTTTTACTGAACCCATTGTGACAAAGTGGACTCCACCCTTGTCCAAATCACTTGCTATGGTTAAGCCCACAGCCATGGTAAAAGGTCAATACCCATTTCCAGTCCAACCCGTGCCTCCCATTTCCAGTTGCTAGTCTAGGCTCTTTGGCACAGATTATTTTCCGTGTCCACCTAGTACTAAGAATAGTTTAGGGTCAGAGGTTGAGCACCACCACAGCTGGAAATAAAAGCTCAGGTGCAGCATTAAAAATTTCCAGTGGAGTTTTGAATGTTGTGAGGAGTGTGGAGGCAACGCAGCTCAGCACATCCAAAACCTGGAAGGGAACACACAGCTCCCAGAGGCCACCCTGCACCTTCACCACTACCTGGATCCAGCTGCAGGTGAAACCAACCTCTCTGGTAGGCCAAGCACTGAGAGAGAGCACTGGGGTGCAAAGCTACCACAGTTAGTCTGACCTGCTGCTAAGGAAAACGGTTCCCTCAAGAAGGCTAAGGCACACAAGACTTATCAGAGCCTGGTTAAGTGTTCAAGATTAAGTCAGCAAGGTCAAATAAAGCAAGATTCCATGATACGAACACAAGAGGAGGGTGCCAGAGACAAAGAGAAGGAGGCAAGGTGTGGTTAGCTGCATAAATATTTGAAGGTCATGTGAATATCTGCAATCACCTTGAACAAACTCCCTGCAAATAACTACTTTAGCTCACTTCCATAGCACTGGATTTGTAAAAGGTGGCTTTCCAGTAAGTTGTTTGCAAGTGCTATCGAAAGCCCTCAGATCGAGTCAAAAAGGACACATAAGTTAAGAAAGCAACACCAACTTCTAGCACCTTAAATTGCTCTTTATAGGTGT